CCCCACATACATACTGCCCCACATATACACACTGCCCCCCATACACACACAAACTGCCCGCCATACACACACAAACTGCCCCCACATACACACATTGCTCCCCCATACACACACACATTGCTTCCCCATACACACACACACACACTGCCCACCCATACACACACACACTGCCCCCCCATACACACACACTGCCCCCCATACACACACACTGCCCCCCATACACACACATACACTGAATCCCTGACATACACTGCCGCCCTCACTCACACACTACAACCTTCACACACACACTGCACCCCTTACACATAGCACCACTCACACACACCACTGCTCCTATGCCCTACTACAGCCCCATTTCCCAGCAGATCTCAGGTAAGTTGTCAAACTGTTTTAAACGCTTTGACTACTTACTGTGGGAGGGTGTCCCGGCACTATTGACACCATAACCACTACACTGAGCTGTAGTGGTTATTGTGTCTGGATTATTTCTTTTAATAATCTACAAGTGCCCCTCCCGAGATCAGGCTCTGGATCCGCCACTGGTTGCCAGTAAGGCAACACTCAAAATGGGTCAGCCTATCTAGAAAGGTGTCAATCTGGTGTATGCCAGACTGGCCTCATACACAGAAGACCATGCTGAGAGAACTGCTGAAGTGTTCTGTACATGGTCCTTATGACCACCGCACAGCACAAGTGCATCTAATGATGTATTCATGTTGTCCCCAGATGTAAGCCAAGAACCAAAAATAGGGACTCTCCAGCAACACACATGATAGTTGGGAGGTCTTCCATACCAAGATTTGACACTTGACCTATTGGTTGATCTCGCTGTAAATGTTGTTTATGTAAGATATCTACCGATTCCCTTCATCTTAAAGTGGACCTGTCATTAGTGGATTTTCACAATATAACGCTTATTGTCACTTTGTCTGTTTTTGTTTTTGGTTATTTGTTTTTAATTTTTTTAATGTGTTTAAAAGTTAAACTTATGACACAGTAGAGATTTCAATGTACAAAGTGAAGTATTTCCCAAGACAGGGGATGAGCCAGTAAGCCATTCTGTCAGGTAAGCCATCCCGCTTACGTCAGCCATTGATCATTGATTCAATGCTCAGTGAGAGCAAAGACTTGTGGGAATAAAATGGAGTCTGCTGCTTCAGAAAATCTGTAAACAGGTGACTTTTCTCATTCCTCCTTACTGTTTTAAAATGGGTATATCTACACGTGCAATTGCATTCTCAGTACCATTTGTGGTGTTCCTAACAAGTGTGTTCTCGTCATACATGTGCATTAGTCAATGAAAAGTGGTTTAAAAAAGAATCTGCTGGTTTTAGTGCAATATATTTAAGTGAGAAAATTCTCTAATGGAAATTTTGCATTTTTACTATGTTGGGGATCCATTAGAAGGGTAGCACAATATGTAATGGCGTGAGGTGCTGCTGTTCCCTCTACAAACAGTGAGCAACGTTTCCCATATGAACCATTACCCTCAGTAAAATGTAATCTTAGAGATATTTTAAAGTTGTAGTCGGGGCAATCTAGCCGTAATGACAGTGTAACATAGCATATTATAACCAATAGACATATTCAAATGACACCAGTCAGTTGTGGTGTGCCGGAACCGACAGAGCAGTAGGCCTGTAATAAAAGTGGGCCAACCTTAGAGGGTGATATGAATAGAGGGAGCGGTGGGAGGGGGGATTCGCCAGACCATCCACGGTAAGATGGGAGTGGATTGGCAGCCCTTTTAATTCAAGCCCCTTTTAATTCAAGCCCCTCCCACAACTACAGGCCAAGGCCTTACATTTGTAGTTGGGGCAATCTAGCCATAATGATAGTGTAACATAGCATATTATAACCAATAGACATATTCAAATGACACCAGTCGGTTGTGGTGTGCCGGAACCAACAGAGCAGTAGGTCTGTAATAAAAGAGGGCAAATAGAAGAATACCATACACAATTAATCATATAACAACCATCATTTATTCGGACAAGTCACAAAAAGCTTGTATTAGCTCTTTAACTGGGTTCGGAATGTAAAGAGTATAGGCGGAGAATTTCTAGCGTCCCATAGCCCTGATGATATGAGCTGGAATGTGGTTGGAGGAAGCTGAGGATGCTGCCCCTATGCGGAAGGAGTGTCCTGAGGAAAGGTTTGTATTAGGCCGAGCCTAGTTAACAGTAAGTGAACATGAAGCATGACTTGATATGCTGTAAGAATGGAGCCGTGATGTTTTGATAATGGTTGGAGTGGTTGTATCTGGAAAGTGGTGCAATAAGTATCCGGAACTTTACCTGGCACCATTGTTTAGAGTAGGTAATAGGGGTATGGTGACCGTATGTGCTATAGTGATAGGTATAGACTGATGCAGAGATAGGACCTAATGATCTAATGTGACTGGATATCAGTCGTTCCCAGGTATTCAGTGGTAGTTACATTCCTAGTGTTAAATTCATTGGGACGTAAGAACCCATAGCATGCTAGATGTATGGCCATCTGATTGTGGTATAGGTCATGTGCTCAAAAGGAGCTGAATCTACTAAGTCGGATAGTGAATGAAATATGCCGTGTGGATGGGTAGCCTTTGAGATGGTACGTGGGTCTTGAATTTTGAATTCCTTTCAGTAGGTCTTTGTCAGATAAGTTGAAAGGAATCCTGTATTGTTGGGGTGTCGTGGAAGCATGTGGTGTTGGATATCCGTAAGTTACCATTTAATTGTGTTAAATGATAATTTAAGTTAAGGTGGCAAAAAAAAGAGAACCCCAAAATAGATTCCATAGCAAATATGTCAAGAACTTAAAACTCCCCAATAGACTCAGTGAAAATATGTGAACACCCTATCATATAATTTCTAGTATTGACTGAAAGTGTAAGGAGAGAAACGTGACGTGCAAGGTTAAACCAGACATTTAATTCATGAGCATGTCTAGGAAAGGTGGAGCAGGTTAGCCAGCCTGGAAGTGGTTGGTAGTGTCTGGCAGAAAGCCTGAAACGCAACCCATGGAAGATGCCAGCTAAGATGTTTGTGAAACCCGGCACGTAAATACATGTGATAAGATTAGCAAGTGGCTACCCATGTGAGTCTCCTGAACAGTCTCCTGATGACCAGAGATGAAGATCGGCCTATATGCACAACGTGGCTAGGCGTATGTGAATAACATCTGACCGAGTGACCGGACCATATTGGTCCCCAGGCAATGGCAGCTGTCATGATCGGATATCATTCAAACAAGGCCGAAGTAGAGGAGAAGCTGGTGCCGGGACTTAACATCTGTGGGCCATGCCCCCAAACGCCATTTATCCCCTCCGATGGCAGGAAAACCAGAGTGTGATGCGGCATCTGTTCAAACGGTGGGTGAAGTGTCAGAGAGAGGGAATAAACATGGCTCGCCCTTTCCAGTATATGAGGAAAGTGCCACATAAGTAAATCAGAGGTTGCATGAGTGCCTAACGTGATACGTGGTGAGTCGTGGGAATAAAGAGAAGGAACTGGGAAATGAAGGATCTACCCTGTGGGATGAGTCTCATGGCAAAATTAAGCGACCCCAGCAGTGATTGAAGTCCCTCGCGGTTGCAAGACCTAGTTGCAAGTAGAGTTCAAATGCCTGATAGGTTGCGCTCAATCTATGTCCTGGGGAAGGCTAGCTTGCATGTGGAACGAGTCTAGTAGGATGCCCAAAATTGTGCGGTGTTATCAGGACCTAAGGTCTTGTGAGGGGAGACCGGGGTAGCCAGGGGCTCAAAAGCCAATATGCGTGTAAGTCTGCTAGGGGGGGGTGCCTTGGTCTCAATCATGGGGAAATTTTCCAGGAAGAAATAACGGACGGACATCTGTACATATTAAGCCATAACCAACACAAAGTATCAGCCAAGTAGCACAGATTCTGGGGCTGCACTTGAAGCTAAAAGTGAGTCGTGAGAAATAATAAAGCCCATGTCACTTAAATGCAGTGCAGATGTCATAGTGAAGGGTGAATGGGAAGTAATTTAAAAACATTGACAATGTCAGTTTTATTAGAGCCAAGCGCCGGTACCAGTCACCAGGGTGGCCCAAATGGCATAGGTGATAGTGGCATAAAGTAAGGAAAGTTCGTAGGAGGGTATGAGGGAATGAAGGCTGGGAAAGGTGGACAAGTCTATGATTGGTCTGGGTACAAGTGAAGTGTTCCCCTTGACCCCGCTATGGGGTTGGTTCTCCCCAATGTGAAAAGGAGGGGAACCAAAACACCCCACAAACCCATGATCTAGTTCCGTCCTTATAACCGCACACACTAACTCTTGGTCTGTGAATGCGGTTGCAAATTATTGCATTCTAGTGTCCCAGTTATCAAAATGTACGAACCCATGTGGAACCCTTGAGTCAGCCTTTTGATGATAAATTTAACCAAATGCTGCGAGGAACGATATTGTAAAAGCGTAACCAATAATGTGACGTTGATGCCAGTGTAGTGAGGATTTAGGA